TAGTTTGATATTAAAGAAGAACTCACAAAGTTAACCCTTAAAGCTGGGCTACCCCCTGCACGGCAAGGGCTAACTGCTTGTTTTTTTCTAGGGGACAGAATACAGAAGATATGCTCACCTGATGCTCGGTCCTATGGTGGTCCGCACTCACCTCTCTGCCCCACTGCTCCAGCTGTGATATGTCCTTAGGCATCCTCACGTCAAATGCAGGTAAACAGATCTGCATAAGACATGATGATGTCAAGGGTCCTTAGACTGCCACAGCACGGGGGAAAGAAGAGGCTGCGGGGATCCGTCTAGCAGCCAGGCTTGTTTGAGGATCAGGTAAGTATATGTTCTTTTAGCCAGCCCCTGGACCAAAATGAACAGTTAACCCTTGCAGTGCATGCGGTAGCCCCACTGCAAGGGTTAACTTTGCTAATTACTGGAGTTCTTCTTAACACTACAGCCAAACTTCTGATTTTACTGTAGCAGCCGTTGGTCAATCCAGGCGTCTTTATCTACCTACATTTTTATATCTACCTGTGTTTTATAGAGGGGTGGCAGGGGTGTAGAATTCCTATCTCCCGATGCCCGGCACATGTAGTTCAGGGGCGCCGGGCGGGTACAGCGGTACATCATTTCACGAACGCTTCTGTACGCGAACAATTCGGTTCGCGAACAGGAAGTTCGGCAAAATTTATCGAACTCTGCATCGGGTGATGAAGACAACCGCAGCCATCTTCCCTGCTCTGGGCAAGCAGAGCTAAATGTACAGCAGGGAAGCCGCCGCTTGTTTTGTACCAGTGATCTCGGCGACATCACTTGTATGCAGCCTGCAGGTCTGCCATTCTCCATGAGGGGGTTGCCGGGTAGGGGGGCGCATTGAGGAACCATTGAGGACAGTAAATCCGGCCCTGCTGACACTATCTCAGGTCTGGTAACATTCTGGAACCAGATTCTATTACACAAGATACATTAATCATAATGTTCTCTTCCCTCATATGATACAATGTTATTTCAAGAAGATAAAAACCTTCCAGGGAATATTTGTTGTGCAGCAACTCTTCAGCGCAGCATTGATGGCGATCTTGGTTGCAGCATAAATACATTTGTGTTCTCTGCCAAACACGGAGCATTACCAGGATCTGGATCCTGAGCAGGAAAACCTTCCGATATCTGAATCCGGAGCATTAATTGTATTCAGTTTGCTTTGGACAGGATTTCATGTTTTCCTCTGGTGATCTTTATCTTGTTTTGTTGCTACTGTAAATCACAGGCTGGTGCTTACGTTCCAAGCGGCCACAGTAGTATGTTGGGAATTGTAGTTCCTCAAAATCAGATTTTGGATCCTGTTACTGTGTAGCCCAATTTACTGTCTGTGTCATTAGTCTAGTTCCAAGCTGTGTGGGACCTCTTGAGAGAGTGAAAGTTTGATCGTGATTGGGGGCTGCTGCCGGGGTAACTTTGGTGTTAGGTATGGGCTGGGTTGGTGTTAGGGTCAGATCAGTGGCATCGCTATGGGGGTGCGGCCTGCACCGGGTGACACCATTGGAGGGGGAGACACCAAAATGACTGACAGTCATTCAGGGGCATCCCGAGGCCGGGTGTCAACCCGCCGTGACATCATCGCGCATGCCGGGTCCCCTCCTCTCTGCTGATAGTCTCGGGCTCTCAATCCATGACGGAGTGCACAACTTTTCTGAGGGGGTGACACCAAAATGACTGTCAGACTTTTTGGTGTCATTCATAAAATGGTGTCACCCGGGTGCGGGCCGAAAAACCCCGCACCCCCCCCCCCCCCCCCC